CACTCTATATCGATTCAATATGGCCAATTTAATTTTTACTTTTATTTTGGCTCAATTAAGTCTATATAAGGAGTAAGAGAGAGCCGGATAGGGTTTATGCCCTCGTGTTAACATGAGACTTTTGCAAGAATGACACCCAGCTCTGATGATGTGCATCATATGATGGACGAAAGCTCAGCACGTTTTAACCCGAAACGAGGGAGAAAGTATCGTGGACTGCGTCAACATGAATATCGTATGAAAGCCAAACGGCTGCAGTATTACGAGATTTATCCGTCTTCATTTTCATGCACTTTCATTCGAAATGAAAGTCCTCCTAACAATATTATTCCAATAGATTCATCGCAACCTAATTTCTTATCGTATCTATCAATCAAGCATAAGTAGTTCCTTATTTTAATCGAAGACCTCATTTTCGTAACTTGGTCTTGTTTTTAGGCGAACTTAGTTGAACTCATCTTGTCCGAAGTGCTCTGCTATAGTAGCTATTCTAATTCCCAGCATCCGACCGTGGACTCGGTACATTCTCAGATGTTTAGCCATAATCTTAGTCGGCATCATCAATGAGTCTTGCTATTCTCAGCATTAAGCTACAACTCGTCAAAGAGACAAGTGAAGTCGATCCTTAGACCAAATCTCTGCACAATCACTCCTCTTTCTATCCTGGCCCATTTATCTAATCCTTACTCTCTTATTTCACTCCCGCCCAATCACAACTTCTGACTTGTCCACACTCCACTCGTCAAAAGATGTGTCCTTTTGACAAGTTTATTGTGTGGCTTCATCACACCTGCTGTTTACCTTGGTCCACTCTTTCGATCGGCTAATTCGACTCCGGTGTCCTATCCGGATCTCAATCATGATCCCGGAGATCTGTTTCTTATCTTTTTGGTGCACCGATTTCACTCGGTTCCAGTCTTAGTGTACTTTTTACTCCTAATCCTGGTCGCCTGCGACACCTCAAGTGTATTTATATTATATTGTGCCATAATGCCGAATTTCTCTGGCTGCGGTGTTTATATGTCCTCCTTGTTCCGTGATTG